TTGTACAGGATTAGTGGGACCTTTTGACTAATTTTTTACTTTTTAGAGAGATATTTCGTCTGGAATCGAGGAAGAACGGCACTGTCTTCACTATCGTAGACAGTTGTTACTTGTATGTGGAAATTGGATGAAATACCCGTCGGCAGGTGAGCGTTTTTCTTGTGATATTGCCCTAATCATCACTGCGCGTTATGTCCTAGTGTAAAGGTCACATTTTGGACGAACTCGCAAGCCAGAAACGTGTACTGATCAATTCAACATAGAAAGCGTATTAAATGATATACAACACAGTTTGCAAATAAAGATGGTTCCACCGTTTTAGAGCTTCTCTTTACTGCTGATCGACTCTGGTCCTTGACGGCCACTTGCGCTGTGCGTGATGAGCTCGCCAACAGGTTGTCGTCGAAGTTGCCAGGGAGCATGATCAATCTCCGTTATAGCTGCCCCGTGAGCGTAGGAATGGCTTTACGCAGCACAGCGCGTGACCGTCAAGAGCCAGGGAAAGACAGCGAGGAAAAGCACGAGAACAGTGAGAAGCAGTTCTGGTCGCAGCTCTCTTGTTTGTCGTTTGATATTATTTTCACCAGATTAGTCCCCCGTCAACCGCCGGGACCATTCCTTCCTGCGTAAGCGTTATGTCTTGCGCTGTGGTCCCTTCCACCTGTGACACCAACACTTCGTGGAGCTTACGCGTATGCAACAAAAGGAGTTTCATGAAGTAGAGGGCATCGCCATAATCATAATATGACGGTAGATTTTCCGCCTCCCCTCCCCATCCTTCCTTCCTTCACTTCCCTCCAGCTGCCACTGCAGCACCATGTGGAATGAACGGAAGTGTGCTAAGCAGGTGTTTATATAGCCCTAAGAGTGTTATCACAACTATCCTGCTACAAAACAGATATCTTCCAAAAAGGGTGCCGCGGAGAGATGTTCATAGTCATAAAACGGAGAAACGCTCACTCGCGACCAAGCATCCATTCTATTTTTACGAAAAGTAACCACAGCCTGTGGTGTGAAAGGAAGACGTCGTTGTCTTCTCAGTTTTCTACGAAACATTCCCTTGAAACAAATAGTCAGTTTCATTTTCAACTTAAACTCAACCAACTATTTTGTCAAATCTCTGACTTCAACATAGACCTAGTTCTATTGATTGGGTTCTATTGACTATTGACTGACCATTGATCTCTGATGAGATAGAGGCTCGTGTGCATGAAGCAATCTGAGGTAAGATTTTTCTGACACTCGAAAGCACGTTTCAAGAAGTCTCATTGAACTGAGTTATTGATTTTTTCAGGTTTTTATGGACTCGATTTCGCCCCATACATGACAAAGAGACAAAAGCATGAGAATCGCATCATTCTCATTTTTTCCAGAGATTGGGTCGAGAACACTTACATTCCGAACGGCTTGCGTCCAAATCTCATTCACTGACGCAAGGTAAGGATTCCCCCCATAGACCCGAGCTCAAGTGCAGAGGGTTTACGATGACCACAACACTTGTAAGGTTGAATGCTGTCAAATGGTGTCATAGGTACTGGTACGACGGACGGTATTTTTTGGCGTCAACTTGATTACGAAGACACTCGCAATGTTGAAATGATAATAATTCGTTCAACGTCCAACTACTCGCCTTTGAAATAAAAAGGTGTTGCAGTGTGCTGTCAAGAGCGAATTTAAACCTAAGCCCTAAGAAATTGACGTCAAGCCTACTTGTAAATCCGTATCTAGTTTATAATTGATGTTAGCGATTTGATGGTTTCTCAAATGGCCCCTCGAAGCCATAGTAGTAAGTGATTTGATATGACATGTGCTCATCTTGTGCCAACGATCAGTATCAAGATATTTGTCAAGCTGGTACATACCCGTTCAACAGGGATAAATTGTCCTTCATGACACGGATGAAGTGTCGAATTCTGAGCTTTGATCAGAAGTCGATTATCCTTGCAGACTGGCCTGAAGTATATGCCGCGTTTAGTTGGATGGGAGCTTTGTTTCGGGAAATACGATTCGACATAATCGTAGCGTGAGGCATTAATGAAAAACAATGGGTTTGCGACGTTGGAGTTTTTGAGCCTGTCTATGCCCAAAACTAAATAAATTTTCTGAATTCTGTGACTCCACCCTACCTCATAACAACCAACAGAGCGCAACCATGTGATCTTCCGCCGCTCTCGCTACTTTCTTCAATACTGCCATTGATATGAAAGCAACGAGATGATGGAGTGAATACCTGTAGAGTAGATATGAAACATTTCCAGCAAGCATCTGCCGCCTCACTAATTTTTTCCGTACCGGATTCATGCACCGGATGCTTAATTGTTTTTTGTGTCCTGTGCATTTGATGCATGTGGAACACTGCTTCTTAAGGGACTCTTGTCGAACAACCGCCCCAGCACGTAAATTTCTCATTTCTGTGAGTAGTTTTCTATTTAATTTCTGTGTTTTGGATTTTTATATTTAAGGTCATGCGAAGTGTGCAAATCCGCATTCTTTGCAAGATGACTTCACGATTGACTCAATGCTTTCTAATCCCGGTAATCGAGCAACACTGCGTCTGGCAAAGGAAACCATTGAAGATGTCTATCGATGATTTAAGTAATTTCCAGAAGGCAATGAATTTTCAGACATGACCCGTTCCAAAAGCAGTCTCCATCCGGAAAGAGTTATCTAAACTAGTGATATGCAAACCTCATCAATCACGTACTCATATGGCAGGACGCTTCCAGAGCGATTAGTCGACAGTGCACAAATCCCTTAACAAATTGACCACACAAGAAGAAAGGCAAATGGATTTCCCATGTACTTACGCCACATTATGGCACGCTCGAACATCTGTTTAATTTTGCTTCGACGCACATGAAGGTGCCCTAGTGGAAACGAAAGATGGAAAGATGAAAAGAGAACTTTCGAAGAACCCTAACGTCAAAACCACATACGGTATACTAGACACACGAAAAACTTACAGTTAGGCTAAGTCTTGCACTGGTGGTGATGTCCGTTCCTCCAAGTGGTGCCACTGGAAACTGCTCACTTTTGTGAGCTGAGCCGACCACGGACATTCGAATGCAGGCGACAGGCCCCCGTGACAGGCCGGCCTACGAACACCCACGTCACATCACAATGTCAATGTCGCTACAAGTATCTCGAGATAATGCTACGGCGTCCGCGGGAGCCGACGCGCACTCGCAAAGCCCGGCGAGTGTGAAAAGTATGCGAGGGTCTCCGGTGCAAGGACGGCATCGGGGGGCAACTAGGCTAGTCCAAAAGTCCGCAACGTATGGAAGACTCGCGTTGCGACGTTAAATGTTGGCACGTTAACGGGACGCTCGCACGAGTTAGCAGAAGCTCTAGAGGAGGGGGGGGGGGGGGGGGCGGGGGGGAGGGGGGGGGGGGAGCGCCGAAGAATTGATTTCTGTGCCGTGCAGGAAACGAGGTGGTCCTGCTGCAAGTCGAGGGACATTGGCCGCGGCTTCAAAGCCGTTCTATGTGGCGGTCCCAGAACCACCAATGGCGTCGGGATGATTGTCTCTGAACGCTTTCGTGATTCGATATAAAGTATATTCCAGCTGCACTGTACCGCAACATTTACTTCTATATATGTGCCAAATTTGGTCGACCTAGGTGAGCTAACAGTGAGAATTTATGTGAACGTTACTTCCGTCCTTGGGTTTTGCACACCAGTGTATATCCCTACTATATGGGGTGGCTGAAAAGTATAGGACGCTATGTTTTGGCAGGATAAGAGTCAGAAGGGACCTTTAAAAAAGGTACCAACTTCACAGAAATATTGAGTTCGGTTGCGTGATAATTTGGACAAAAGGTGCTCTAAGATCGACGAATCTTCCTTGACGGAAGCCTGCTGACGTCCAACGACAGAATCAGTAGCGGCGCAAGTAGCCAACGGCGATATCGTCCCACGTCTTTTAAAGCGGAGGCGCTAACTTCAGAGCATCCATCGAGCTGTAGAAGCTTTCTCAGATCTTGCCCTCTGACATCCCCGCATAGGGAAGTCCAAAGGGGTCAAAGGCCTACGGGAGAAAGTTTACAAATTCTTGCTCCAGCGGCCGGGGAAGTGCGCGTCCGTAGAACGGTTTTGATCGATTTAGAAGCATACTAACGAGCCCAACTGAGCTGGGCAACAACCGGTCGTTGAGGAGAAGATTCGTGAATCCAGAACAACATACAGCACCTCAACATAGTCTTTTGCAAAACCTTCGAGTTAGTAGGTTGTAAAGAAAGTTCTGCAACAGTTCCTAACAGAAAGTTCTTTCCAAAATTTTCTTTTTTTCTGAAAAATTCATAGGTAACATTTATGACTACACAAATGGTAGAGCATTCTCAAGGCTTCAATCCACGAGGTGGATATAAGCGCTGCAGTCAGTAGATAAAGGATAAAAGGATAAAGCATTTGCCGTTGATCAATCCCTTTTTGGGATGCGGCACGCATTCTACTTCCATTTGTACATTCGTAGTGGCGTTTGAATGCGATGTGGCCTATACAATGACTTGCGGGGGCCAGCCGATGTACAAGTCAGTGTTTTTATCCTCCCAGACAAGTCTGGTACCAATTAACCGACCCCGGAGGGATGGAAGGCTTGGTTGGCCCGGGCGACTCACGACCCAGGATTTGATCCCCGGACCGCTCGCGTGGTAAGCGTGCCACTTGCCACTACACCACTTCCGCCCCCTCAGTAGATATTCGGGTCAGTAAAAATGGTACGATTCACACCTAATTAAGAATACTCCGCGGATAACTGCGAAGTGACCTCATTAAGGGAGACGGCCTAGGGGTCACAACACCACCCAAACATGTGTACTAGACACGTAGAAATGGCAGTCAAATTGGAAAACCATACAACAAAACAACATGAATAAAGAATATGTATTCAAAAGGGAAATACTGCCAATCTAAAATAAAAAAAAACAATCTAAAATGACCCGTTATCACCAATCAACTATCACTAACTAGTTATAACTGAAAGCTTAAGCAAGGTATTAGAAACTACAAAACTACACCTGAACACTTACTGTGAAACTAAGCGAACAGGAGTGGATGGAATCAAGGAGATCCGCATGCTTTCGATGAAAACCTCACGTCTCTAGCCAAACGTTACTGTCCTCCCTCAAGCAAGTCAGTTAGAGATATGCCCTTCATGTGCCTCCTCTATGACTTTTCAGGACTCAGGCTACCCCCATACCACTTCGCAGGACCCCTGGTAAAAAGAAACACCTTGAGGAGGGGTTATGGCAGGTATTTAAGCTAGCATAGATGACTATATTTTGCAGTTCCAACGAACTCTACCAGGAAGAGCATCTCGCTCTGAAATTGAAGCATTTTGTAGAAGAATGTCCCGCTACGTCTCGAATAAATCTATATAGTCTATATTATTGGGTTGTCTCATAATTCCTGTCTCATTTCTATTCAATTTCAAATTTCTTCCGTCTAAGACCGTTTCATTGCGAAATACGTTAGTATGTTGAAGTATGCTTCAAGAGCCTTAACAGCGTGGTTTCGGAAGCGCAAGCCCTAACGGGTTAATCAACTAGGAATAAAAATAGGTCAGTGACAAGATTGAACGATGAACGGGTCTGCGATCGCTTTCGACGAAGGCCCCTTGCACCTATAAATTGGGAGTGCTCCGGACGTTGCTACCAGGGTATTGTAGCAGATACCTGAGCGCAGCCGATGCACCAGCACACGCCATCAGTATGGCAAGGACTGCTGCAGAATGAAGTTTTGATGGAAACCTTATGGTCCGGCCGACCATGAGAGAAGCACGCCTGACCACTAGGGAAAATTCATTCTACGAGCGCAGAGCAAAGCCTGTTGATTAGTTATTTCATGGAAGAGACAAAACTAGATATAGTGAAGTGTCAAAATTTCGACAGGAATTATGAGACGACCCAGTGTGTTTATGAATTTGTGTGATAAATGAGTGTTTTTCAAATATTATTATGAATGATTTGTTTCCTCAATTAATTGCGTTTTACCTGATTACAGAGAGGTGTGGGTGGTGTTGTGACCCCTAAGCCGTCAGCCTTAATGAGGTCACTTCG